CTGCTGTCGTAACATGGGGTTTTAACTCACCTACTGTGGATGTGCTGTATTTGTTTCCAAATGAATAATGAACAAACTGCAGGTACTATAAATATTCTGTGTAGTTGTTTAATGAAACACAAATGGCTGTCAATAAAAATGACCTTTCTGAATTAGTGAACTACTTGCCCCTCAATTACAACCACACAGGATGACAAAAAAAAGTTAATTACCTTCTCAAGGGCTCTGTAATTCTGTTTTTAATGACTACTCCTCCCTATTAATCCAGTGCAAAAAAAATGCCCCTCTGATGAGTTTTTGTTTTTGTTTTGTTTGTGTTTCTGTTTTTGATTAAAGGAAAGAAACTGCTCAAGGAGGAGTCTTGCTGCCAGTCCCTCTTGCTCACCAGAAAATTTGCTGTTGCTTGTTGCTTGTTGCTTGTTTTCAGGGCTCGGTATGGTGATGAGCTGTGGTGGGATCAGATCTGACAGCAACTGAAGTCACTACCAATGAGACTCAATTCTAAACTAAGACATCAAAATGAAAATTGTTTTGTGTGAGACAAGTGTCTACGCTCACATCTGAAGCCAGTGGAGATCCTCTCATAAAATGTGTGGAGCACTGAAAGCAAACAGCTAACCAACTCTTAGGGGCTCAATTCACCTACATATGAAGAGACATCTTAGGCGATTTGGAATGCCCTAGGGTTTCTCCAGAATGGTTCCTGAGTCCCATAGGTCTTTCACCATACAAGCCTTAAGCGTAGCCTCAGATATCACAGGTTACTGGAAACAGCATTAAATACCTTATTTTTTGATTTAGGCAACCACAGAGTCATAACATATCCAGAGTTGGAAGCAACCCTCAAGAATCAAGTTTAGTGGCAGCACAGGAGATTGCAACGGTCTTTTCCAAATGCTTTTTATAAATGCTAAATGCAATCTGAGAGCTACTGACCTCTATTCAAGTGTAGCTTCTCAGTTAATAACTTGGCTGCAACCACAAGTATATTTTCTTCTGCTGAAGGGTATCTGAAAAATATCTACTGGTTTAGTTTACTCATTCTTTCAGAATAAGCTAGTTTAATACATGGATGACCAAAGGATCCTTAATCGAATCTGCAGCACTCATCTCTGAATGAGGAGTGAGAGAGCCATTATCCTTCCCACAGCTAATATCTCTGAAAAAAAACATAGGAAATGATTCAGCCCTTATTACTGTCACATCTCATACAGTAGATATGAATAGAATTTTACAAACAAAAATTGATCCTGTTTTCCTAAAGATAACTTGGGGATCTGTTTCTTCTTTCCTGGTGCTTCGCACTGCAGATGAAGAGGTCTATCAGCAGATCTAGCACAGGCGAAAGGAACCACACAGTAGCTGTGAGGTAATAAAAAACTTGCTTCCCAAGCATTTTCTTTTAAGAGGTTTTCAAAAATAATTTTCCTTCATTCTTAAGTGCTCTGTTACAATTTATCCAATTATCACTCTGAAGAAACAGCCTAAATGCAACAGCCATGTAAACTGTCAACCACTAGGAAAAAAAGACCGCACTGACTATTTATGGCCTAATGAGTAAGGATTATTCTTACCTTCCAGGAACATGCATCTCTTGTATAAAACAGAATTTCTAAAGAAATAACTGATTTCTTAATATGTAAAGCTTTGTAAAATTTAAGGTCTGCATTGTTAAAACCTATACTTTTTTTTTTTTTTTTTTTTTTTTTTTTTAATTCTGGTATTCAGTGATGTATGAGGGGAAGAATGAAAGAAATTTTTACTGTTATAACTACAAAAGTACTTTGGTGTCTTGGCATTTCCAGGGGGAAAAATATTTCTGCATGCTTCTGTTGAAAAGTGTCATTTGCGTTGCAGAACTCTTTATCCCATTTTTACCAGTCCAAGCGGTCACTTTACCATAAAATGGAGAAAACAGGGTAACAAGATGGAGCATGAAATTTTAAGTGAGATTTTCACACACTGTGGGATGAGTGGAAGACCTAAAATCAGACCTTTTAACAGCTAGCATGTCTTTATTTCCTAATTGCATCCCCCCTGTTACCTCCAAAGGCCTATGGTGGCTTTGTAGATGGAAAAATAAGAGTCTTTTATGGCATAACAGCTCTAGGGATCTTTTTTTTTTTTTTTTTTTTTTTTTTTTTTTTTTTATGGTATTATATGTTGACGTATATCTGTAGTTGATAATTGTAAACTATCAAGTGTTTGCTGCCAGCACACCAAACTCTCAGAGCAGCTCTGCACACCGAATCTTTCTTAAAGCACAGGCAGCACAGGGCTGGTGGGGAGCACATCTCCCAGAAAGATTTAAGTGCCTTTGAGGATTGAGGAACTGCACGTTGTAGAGCCAAGGTCCTCTCAGCCACATCAGTGCTGTCCAAAAGTGCCTGAGGTTGTGGAGTGCCCCTAGGGTTTGTGTGGGAACAGAGCCCAGGACCTCAATGGAGCAAATCTGGGAAGCCAGAACTGAAAGCTGGTGGAAGTGCTGGCTCTTTACCTTACCACAGTCACAAGGAGGCCTTGTCTAAGCTGGGAAAATAATACTTGTAAGACACTGAACCAATACCCTTGCTTCAAGTTTTCCATGGCGTCAAGGAAAATACAGAATGATTTAGCCTTGTGTCATTAACCTTTAAAGCATTCCATTCAAACTAATAAGAAATATCATCTGGGAAAACAAAACAAAACAAAACAAAACAAAACAAAACACAAACACAAACACAAACCACAAACAAACAAAACTCCCCAAATCACTTTTATTTTCTTTTTTCTTCTGTTTGTTTCTAACACTTCTGGTTGGTCTTATCTCTACAGTAATAACAGTTGTTTTCTTTACCGTTTAGCCTCATGATACAAATGTTAGTGGCAGCACTGAGGCAGCAGGACAGTAAATTTTGCTTCCATAGTCATTGAGGTCCCATGGGCCTCTGTGACCATTTCCTGAGCAATCTGCCATGGTCTGTAAAATGTTTTTTTGCAAGCATTTACTCGTCTCCCATGGGAGGGTATGAGAAATTCAGCAGAGTGAGAGGTGCTGTTATTTGTAAATATGATGAGAACAGCGGCATTTTCCAGAATGAGAGTCTCGTCACTCTGAGAACCAGAAAAATGCTGTTTGCTTGATCATTTATCTTACAGCAGCTCACAATAAATTTGTCCTCATAAGCAGTACAATTTGACCTCTTACTCAGCATTTTGCTCTCTACAGAAGTATGATTTGTAGTGTCAGCAGATTTATAGGGAGCAGTTAAAAGAGAAAAAAAAAGGCAGAAAATCGGCTTACCTGGGTATCATTTTCAGCCTGCCATGTAGGGATAGTTTCAGTAATAGAGATTCCTGCTGCTCTGGAGAGCATTCAATATGTACAAGTAATAGCTTGTGTGTGGTGTATAAGGTCTAGGAGGTTCCCATGCCATGGAGATGCCTTTATGATTTTTCAGGAAGCCATGAATAAAAAATTTGAGACATTTCTTTCCATTAAAGACTGCCTTCCCAGGAGTAGCAGAAATTTAACAGGAACAAAATGATAAATTCCCTGTCTTTTGTATATTGTCCTGTTTGCTGTGTACTGACCAAAGACAGACAGGATGGATTGGATCACAGGAGTGATTCCTGTACAACTATGAGGATTCTGATGGTATTATTGAGGTTGAGAGGGGAAATTTACAGCTACTCATATACTGATTACCACACAGATGTGAATGTTTAAGGCCAGAGGTAGTCTTTATTTTAAAGTTCCTTAAAATTATTTTTTTTCCTTTTAGTAAATTGTCCAAAAACATAGAAAAAGTGCTAACACTAAAAGCAAGAGGCTGAGATAGAGGTTGTCCTTCCTAGAAAGCTGTTTGCATTGGGTGTAGGGACAGATTTTAAGGCCCCTCAGCCATGTAAGCAACGTGTCCACCTCAAGGCTGAGGAAGCAAGGCTCGACCAAGCTATTCCTGACATGAAGAATGGAGCAGCATGAGGAAAAGGTATAAGTGCAGGGAAGAGCCACAGATAAAGCCCTGGAAAATTGCTGCCAGTAGAGGATTCTCATCCTCATCTTTTATGTTCGCAGTAATCAGGCAACATCTGTTTTGTGGAGAAAACAAAAAGCAGTGAAATTCTCCATGTCTGGAGATTGCTGTGCATCCTTGTGCAATCTTTCACATTTTGCTCTCATGTTAATTCTATGTGTGTCTTCAGTGTTTCATGGGGACTTCTGAAGGTTAGAAATTCTGAAGTGTGTGTGTCTATGGTAGAGTACCTTCTCTCTTGGACGAGGATTATATTGTCTTATTGTCTGGACTTTTGCAAAACCTTTTGGATTTTTTTTTTTTTTTTCCATGATGAAATGGTTACATTTACACTAAACACATACAAGCAGGTGGTTTGCCACAGGGTTTCATTATAACGCAATTTAAAATTATGGTCACATGGCTTGTTTTCACAGGCTTGGCTTTTGTTTTGGTTTGTTCTGTATTTTTTTTTTCCTAGGGAAAAAAACACCAATGTTTATTAGTTTGTAATTAAAAAGCACAGCTGGCATCAATGGAACCCACTTGTCACTACCTATAATTTCAGTTGACATACATTTACTGAATTTTATCACAACTGTAGGTAGAAGGGAACTTCAGCAAGTTTACAGAAGAGTAAAATTAGTTGGTATATATTGCAGAAATAAAATACAATTTTAAAAATGTTGTTTCTGTAGCCAGATCTTTATTCTTGCAAAGAATAATTATTTATGCAACAATTTCAGGGTTTTATTCTGGAGCCAATGAACAATTTGGAGTTTTGCCTACACAAGAGCATGAAATTGTTCTGTGAGTAGACACCAAAAATATCCCATGGGATGGTCCCAAATGTCATCAAGGACTGAAGTCCTTGGGGCTGAACACAAGTCTCTGCAGTTAGAGTGTGGCAATCCCACCTCTGTGACCAGGTCCAGAGAGACACAGTTGGTTGTGTTCTTTGTAGTTTCAACCTCCAAATCTAGCTGTTACTTTCCAAGTATCTTTTTTTTTTTTTTTTTTTTTTTTTTTTTTTTTTTGATAAAGCAGTTAATGTGGTTCTTACCCCAAAATAAATTATTTACAAAATTAAGTACAAAAAGGTAGATTTAAAAAATATATGTTTAGCTATTTTTCTTACTATGACTGGAGGCGTTACTAACAAGAGAATGAACAGGAATCAGTTATAACTCTTAAAACTGATATCCACAGCAGTCTCTATACATGCTCATTATAACTTGATGCAAAATTTTAATTTATTATTATAGACCATGTGCAAGATACACATAAAATAGCAACATATCAACAGATGACTGAAAATAGTCTTCCATAATTTCCATTAAGTCTACAAATGTCCTTAAATGACAGAAATTGTTCAGATGAAGAAAGTTTTGTTATATACATATAAAGAAATACATACAATCTTCCATAGATATTCATTCATAGTGAAATTCCCAGGCTTGTGCAGTTCTTTAAATGTATGAGCAGAAAATAAAAGTAAACATTTTAAATCCAAATATGTACTTAAAAGTAGTAATGGAGAGACTGGAGTGCATTTCTACCCCTGAGAAGAAGCCAGATAGATTTGTTCTATTTAGCCAATAGTTTGGTATGAAAACCTGATCTCACTGAAGTCAACACCAATATGATTGCATCCTTAGCCTTAGTTTTAATTCTTCCTTGAGCATGACATTTTCACTTGCACAGAGAGACAGCATAAAGCTATTGCATCTCTTCAATCTCATTTGGACTTTACCACATTTCCATTTCCCTCCTTACTGAAATAGGATTTAGGAGTGGTCTTCACCCACGTACGTAAGGATACGTTTTCTTTAATAGGGCTCTATTGTAAGAAAAAAATCTTGAATATAATATTTCTTTTAATAAACACAAACACAGTGCTTTTTAATAAAGATAAAATTCAATATTTGAAAACACGCCACGTTTTCTACAAACAGACTTTGTCCCTAAGGCCCTGGTATTGCCTTCACTAGTTAGCTGTGCAGAACATTGGGTTTATGACTTTCTTCCTTCTTTTGCTTAATGTATCTATGTCTGCTGATAGAAATACTTCTGAGTCTTTATAACTGAAATAACAACTTCCTCAAAGATGTGTAGATCTATTGATACATTCTTCCTGAGTATACTTTCAAACCGTTCTTCCTGAGTATACTTTCAAACCATGTTATAAGCATATCACCTATATTGATGGTTGGTTATATTTTAAATTGCATTTCATTTTTTTCTTCATATAGGGAAAATGGATTTTAAATTGTAATAAGTGAAGGGAGAAAAATAATTTAAGGCATTTTATGGAGGTAAATTGATACATTACTATATGAAAAAATACTGTTACATAAAGAAGTTTCAGCATGGAAGAGCTGTATTTAGTCATCTAAATTAATTTAAATTTTATAAATTTATTTGATTTCCAGGTCAAATCAAATACAATTATTTGGAGTAATGTCTAGTATAAAAGCTTACTTTAAGAGACATGAGTTATTGTCCACATGTCAGGACTCAGTATCTGTCACATTACATCTACATTTATTTTGTGGCCACCAGGCAGAACAGGATCCCATTCAGGAAATGTTGTGGTGTAGAATCCATATGTAATAATTTAGAATTGTTTCAACAATATCCTATCATTTGTGAAGAAGGATCAAATTTTCAAGTATTTCTTTCTCTGAACAATTATTTGTTCATTGCATCCACAGCTTCTCTGAGCAACTTGTTCCAGGGCTTCACCACCCTCTGAGTGAAGAATTTCCTCCTAACCAAAAATTTAAATCACTGTCCTTTTAGTTTAAAACCATTCCCCCATGTCCTACCATTATCTGCCTAAGAAAAAGTTGCTCTCCATATTTTATAAGTTCCCTTTAAGTATTGAAAAGCTGCTATGAGTTTGCCCTGGAGTCTTCTCTTCTTCAAGATGAAGTTACCTGACAAATTTTCATAGGTCTTAATTAACTACTTCTTGTAGTGGATTCTAAATCTCTAGACCTTTAATCTAGAGAAAATAGTTAAATTTCTTTATATATCTATTCACAGAGTTTGCATTGCTCATCAGTCTACATTAGGTTACATTAGTTTAGACACCAAGGGTAGATTTTGTTCAAGATTACATCTACATATGAGGCAAGTATCTCAGTTGCAGTTATAATCAAAAGGGCTTCCTCATTTGGCCACACACTGGAGTCTAGTGTCATCTAGGGTATACTGCTTGGTGTCCTGTTGCCATTCCAGATTATAATTTCCATCATGTTGCAAATGTGTCAGGTATGTCAAAGTGCATCAGATGATATTAGTTGTATATTTTTGGGGAAAAAAATGGGACAAAATGAACATTCATTCTTCTCTAAGGGAAGAATTTTGCATAAAGTATGTGTGCAAGAAATCAAACACTTGTATTATATTCTCTCCCATAAACTAAACTACAGAAGATAAACAATAAATACACTGAGATGGGGAATACAGTGTATGTAATTAAAACAAACAAACAAACAAACAAAATACTGTCAGGAAAGATACTAATGTTAATATCTGTGATCATACCAACATTCTTCTCTCCAATTCACAAGGTTGATTCAAAGATACAACTACTGCCATCAGTACATGCACAGAAATCTGATGTTTGGCTTACGAATGGAAAATAGAGTATCTATTTCACCCTTTCACAGAATCACAGAATGGTTGGGGTTGGAAGGGACCTCTGGGTCCATCTGGTCCAACCCTGGCTCAAGCAGGGACAGCCAGAGCAGGCTGCTCTGCACCACGTCCAGGCAGCTGTTGAAGATCTTCAGGGAGGGAGATTCCACAACCTTTCTGGGGAACCTGTGTCTGTGCTCTGTCACCTGTCAGAGGGAATCTCCTGTGTATCAGTTTGTGCCCATTGCTCTTGTCCTGGCAATTGGCACCACTGAAAAGAGCCTGGCTCTGTTCAGTTCAAATAGTAAGGAGAATAGTATTTTGCATCTTTGACAAGCTGGTGTCCCCATAGACAAGTACCTTCACTGCACCTTGTAAGACCTGAATCCCGACCTTCGGTAAAGCACACAAAGCTCCTCCTGGAGAGAAAAATGCCTCATGTCTTGGAGCAGAATTCAGCTCTCAGAACTAAAACAGCTTGTACTCACTTGTTACTTTAATTTTGAAATGTATTTTCAATTGATATCTTGTATAAATTATGAGCTGAGAGCAATGTGCTTTATCAAGAAGACAACATTACAGTCACAAAGTGCTATCCAAATGAAAAGCCCCCAAGCAAGCAAGAATGATGAGAACATTATAACTATATTATTGGAGCTCTCGATGACAGACTCTTGCATTGACTATCACACACTTACAAAGTATCAGTTTTCATTTGGTCATTGTTATTTAAAGCAGGAGAAGGCTTGCTCTTCTGGCCATCAGTTCCTCCTTTGGATGTCTCTTGGAAGAAAAGCCTTGGCATCCACAGTGACATTAAAATTCGTTTGTATTCATTTCTAAAATTCTGGTTAAGAAGTCCATATATTATTGCATTAAGGCAGCTGTTGAAATAGGCCATGAAGTAGCTTATAATGAATAACCATTCAGGAACTTTTGGTGCCATTTCCAAAGGATCGATGGCTACTGCTAGTCCTATGAAGTTCAGAGGTGCCCAGCAAAAGGCAAAAATCACGAAAACCACAAACATGGTAAGAAAGTTTCTGAAGTCACTTGGCTTCAGTCTCGGCTTTGTTTCTGACTTGACTCGTCTTCTAACTTGAAGCACTAAAACCCAAATTCGAAGGTAGCAGAAACTCACAACAGTGATAGGGACGATGAAATGAATTACAACAACAGCTATTGTATAGTAGGAGCTTGCAGTCTGAACAAAAGTGCATGAATAGATGCGTGGATCATACTTTAAAGAGCCAACAAAAAAATTTGGTACAGTTGCAATTACTGTTAATACCCAGACTAAGGAGACGTAGAGCATTGTGTTCCAGCAGCTATACACTTTATCATAGGCAAAGCTATGACATATATAGCAATATCGGTTTATTGCAATTGCAGTGATGTTGAAAATGGAGCCTATTACACTTAGTCCCATCACAAAGCCACTCACTTTACAGTGCATTTCACCCAAAGTCCATCCATTGTGGAAAATAGCTAAGAGCACCAGTGGGTATGGATACAAGGCCACGACCAGATCAGCCAAAGCCAAGCTCACCACAAATGCGTTACCTAGGGGAAAAATAAAAACACATAGACATAAGTCTGTAAGCAAGTATAGTTGTGAACAAGAAAAAAACGTGTTACTTTATTTTGGACATCTGCAATATTAAATTATTGATGATGTCAGCAAACAGCAGCTGTATAGCACCAATAGGTCTGTAGGGGAAATAATTTTGTCATTCAACTTAGACCACCACAGAAATAGCTACAGGCAACAGGATGTTTCAGATCTTTTGGTGACTGGATTATACTCTCCTTTCTATTTTGATCTTTAATAAACATAACCATCAATGACCCATTACATAAGCACGTGCTGAGGTGTTTCAGTATTGCTAACTTTGCAGCTGGATAGAAAAGGAGAAAAAGAAAAAAGTCTAAATTGCTCCAGGTGGGCAGGCTACTATGACATTCTAATCTATAACTGGAAAACTAACAGGCTTGACAGTTATCAAGGGGAAGAATACATAAAGGCTAAATCTACAGGGATTAGAAGAATGCATTGTTTTAAGTATATCCTGAATTGCTACACAATAAACTGTAATACAGAAATTTTCTGCATGAATGGCCTACCCTGCAGTTATTTTGCCCGTGGATTGACTAAGGAAAAGTGAATTGCCTTCATTATCTCATGTAGAAAGGCATATTTAATTATATGCACATGGTAAAAATGTGCAATTACAAGAGAAAGAAAGTATTCGAATGCATAGAAGGAGCCTTCAGATCATTTTCTGCTGATTATATTCAAAGAGATTTTAGTGATATGGTTGAAATTTACTGTCTGTCTTTAAATGGTGAGCTGTTAATCAGTTTGAAACTTCTGGATGCTGCACTTAAAGTAACTTTAATAAAACAGTGAGATATTAAACAATGTTCCTGAAAAATCAGGTTCTTACCATGGCAAGTAGTGTCCCCCTTGCTTTCTTGGAAAAATAGGAAATAACTCTCTAAGAATTTCCCAGGAGATAGAAAGGAGTGGTATGAACTTTAGATTCTTGGTAGCATTAAACATATTTCTGGCTCCCAAACTCAATTTTTGCTTCAAATCCTTCACAGCATGAACTGAAGTGCAAAAGACACAACACCTTTTGAAACTGTGTGGGCAACACTATTTTTTGAAAAGAGTAATTAGGTGACTAATCCTACAAATTCTGAGCTTTCTAGTCCTCATCAAACCAGATATTCTCCATACATTCAACTTGAAGCACAGAAATACTGCTGTGGATAAGGAGGCCATTAGCTGGGAGATGGAAAATGCAGAATCCTGTAGGATTACTTTTTTTAAAACGGCAGAATTTCACTTGTATACTGTTTTCTTCCACTTGCTTCTGCATCTGTACATTGTTTAATCAAAATGAAAGAATGGGGAACCCTCTTTCTATCATACAGTTTAGGAAAGGAATGAGCATCAGAATTTCCACACGAGATAGGGAACTTAATGGAAAACGGGATTATTAATGCATAGCCACAGAAACTCAGCTCATCTCAAGACAGGTGTACAGTTTTAGAAGTTTCCTTGTTATACATTTGGCAGCCTGTCTCTCACTCTCTTTATACTTCCAAGGCCACATAAGTGTTTTCACAACTACAATTCACTGACATGGTAAACCCTAGCTAGAGCTAATTTAGAGCAAAGCAAATATCTATTAGTTTTTTGATCTGTGAGGAAAGATTGAAAAAAATAGAGAAAAAAAATGAGGGGTAGATGATAACAAACTTCAAGTAAGTGAAAAAGGAAGGATGTAATATATTCCCATGTCTGCAGTGAGCACAATCTTCATTTACAACAAAGATGCCTCAGTCTAGACTTGGACAAAGATATTTTAATGGCATGAAGAAGGTGGTGCTGGAACATCTTGCTTTATGCCTGCTGTTGGAAGTTGTAAGAAAAAGTTAAATAAACAGTTCTCAGCACTGGCCTACTGGCCCAGCTGACCCCTGTTTTGAGCACAGGAAGGATGAAACATGACTTTGAAGGTCTTTTCTAGCCATATGAAAACTATGGTAAAATATAACACTAACAAAGGAGCAGGGGCATCTTTACCAGCATATACTTACATCACAGCAACAAACCCCTTTTTTCTTACTGTATCTGACAGTAGAAAATAAAGAAGTCAGGAGAAACATTTTTTTTTTTTTTATAAGAATGCATGCTAAAATTAATCTATTAAATTTCTCAGGCCTCCTAGCATCACCTAATAGTTAAAATGTAAGTATTCAGTTAAAATCAACTGAGCAAGCAGCTCTTTCAACCATATTTGGAAGGCAAGCGAATTTCTAAATCATGTATGTAGTTTAGAACTTCTTGAAAATTCCATCTACCATGAATAGGGGCAGTTAGCAACGAACTTGTCAAAAATATACCACTTTGCAACACAGAAGAAAGATATTGTAATACGTATAAAGACCTCAAGCAACTTGTCATTTTTACAGCTGTTCACAAGTTTGGGTGTTTTCACTGTGCACCACAAAGTAAGATCAAAAGTGGTTTTTTTTTTTTTTTCGTTATTTTTTTTTCTATCTTTCTACATGTTTTACTGCAGAATGAAGTTTAATATTATATTACTGAAATGAATAATCTAAAAAACAAAACAAACAAACAAACAAAAAAAACTAATTAATAAGAAATGTCATCAACATTTTGGGAAACCAAAGGTCTTAGAGGCCTTTTAAGTGCTTGGAGAAAGTAAATGTTCCTTGGTATACCTAAGAAGCAGCATTTGGAATGACTTTAATGATATTGATAAGATAATCAGAGGAAACTTTTGGCTATCTTTAACAAAATAGAAACCACAGAATGCTCATCTAGTTGGAATGATTATTATTGTTTGTTAATTTACCCAACAGATTAAGCTCCTAGATTTCAGTTTCATCAGATAGAAGATTATATTTATTTATAAGAAACACATTTGCTCAATGGAATGGAAAGGCCACTTAATTGCAAGAAATAGCCACCAGAAGCCAAATATCTAGCCAGGGACTCAAAAAGATACATACTTATACTGTTTTAAATGTTTATAGCTGACTTGTCCTGACGGTTTGTAATTGTCTTTGATTTCTAATTTCTAATTGAAAAACCTACTGGTGTTCTGCCCACAAGGTTATACAAATGCCACAGAACTCCTTTCTCTCCTACTGCCAAACCTGGGACAAATAGAAGCAGTAGGGACAGGCAAGACAGAAAGTGAATGAGTAAGTCTGTAAGGTAGTGGCACACTTTTTGAAACACCAAGGACTGATGACTACAGATACTTCTTCTATCCCTCCATTTTCATATCTAAACACTTTTCCCTTGGGAAAACTCAGAATTACTCTTGCAGACTTCTTACTTCATTATGTCTTCATGTGGAATGTTATTGGGAAAGCTTTTTGTTTGGGCTTAAAGTTTAAAAACCTCTAGCACTATAAAAACCAGCACTATATCTATAATTAAATAGCCTTTTATACTGGCCAAGAGTGATATAAACCAGATCTTTTTATGATATTACTCTGACAGTTACCTAAAGGTATTTATTTGTACTATTAAGAACAGTAAGATCTTGACTTTAATGATGCAAATAGGAGTTTCGTCATTTTAAAAAATCACTCCTTGATCATTCCTTGGCAAAGTTTACAGTAATAGATATTCTCAAGAAAGTGTTAGACTGACAGACTGTCTAGGCATATCTCTAGTGCTAGCTCACTCTTCAACCCCTTTTTTTTTATTAATTTCCTGGACTCTCATAACCTGTCCTCAAAATAATCTAAAAAAGAGTTCTGGAAGTCTTCTGATAGCTTTCTAGTTGTGATTGGTGTATAAAGACAACATCAGGGCACAGTTTGTAGACAGCCTTCTAGTCAAAGGCACAAGGTGTCACTTCATGGACATGTTGTTTAATCCACCAGTAAGTTACTTATATATAAACACTAAGCATATGCAATATTTTTTTTCTGCTGTTTTTTGAAATGGTCACAAAATGCACAAGGTGTGTCTAATCCTTTATTTCATTCCTGTAATTCATTAAAGGGGAAAAATATCTTTTACAGTCTCAATCAGAATTCCAAAGTTTTGCAAGTTATATTCCACTTGCATAAAAAATACCTCCTCAGTTGTGATATCACCTCTTTCTAATGAAGATCCTGACATGAGGTATGGTATGAAAGTTGCTGGTTGCTTACAATTTTTGTTTCTGACTACCAGAAATGGAAACAAAATGTTATTTCTATAATGTTGAACTCAATGTTATTTCCTTTACTGTTGGTATAAATTATCTGCCTTTTAAGTCTCCTTAATGACTGCTGAAGTTAATGGGAAAATTGCCATAGACTTAAAGGAGTCATTAATCAGACCATTAAAGATATAATAAATAAAGACCTCTTATTAACAAGAATGTGAATCATTGAAAACATTTGGTCCATATAACAAGAGCAATAGCAATAAAAAAACAATTCCTAGAATTATACTTGGATGTAAAAGAAAAAAAAAATCAAAGTCTAAGCCCCTTTCACAGCTCCTACAAATTTTAAAAGAGCAGATTTTACCATCAAACAAGGAGAAATAAGAGTATGTTATCCCCAAGGCATGTTAGCCAGGATTCATCACAGCAAGTGGCTCATTTGATCTATTGTTTGAGTCTAAACCAACATGGATGGAGATCAAAGAGGCATATGCAAAAACCTGAAGAAAGCAAGCAGTCCTTCAGCCAAGATGACCGTCCCTCCTTAATCTCCCTTTGTCTGTAATTAATAATAGAAACTATGTAGCTCTATTGCATGGAATTTATCTTGTGCATGGTCATCTTATTAGGTCCAAGCCTAAATTCTTTTTCTAGACCCCAATGTGGAAAGCAAAACATGACTCTGGAGGGACTGAAGAACTGGCACCAGGTAGGTAGTCATTTTTGTTTCCGTTTCCAGAGTGCTCCCAGCAAATTTGGATCAAACAGCATGCCAGGAGATGTTAGCTGCTCCTGGAGACAGGCTGATGCTTCTTACATCCCAGATGAAGGAAAAGGGAACAGGGGAACAGGGAC